GGAAAGAGGCTGCTGGCTTCTGTGACTAGGGGATGTCGTTCTAGGACGCTGTGGTCCACCTTGCTGATAATGTTTTCTCCACAAGTTGCGCCTATACTGCTGTGTGATATTGATGCATCTGACAGGCAGGTGTAGACTCAGGGTTTGCTGAAGCATCTGGTTCAGACATTGTCCCATGATTTTGAATTCTGTCTTACAGTTTTATGTCTGCTTTCTTCATTAGAGCGGAAGTTTCTCAAGGGCAGGGACCAGAGCCCGAGCTTCCAGCGTGGTGCTTTGCTTATGTAATAGTTCCCTGCAGTTTACTGACTGGCTATGAATAGGATTTGGGGACTCTGAAGTCTACTACAGATGAGGTGCCTCTGGTCTTGAATTCCTAATTGTACAGTATTTTGTGTTCATTTAACTCCAGTCCCTGCATTAACTAACCACACTCTGCACCTAATCATTTCCAACCCAGGCAGCTGATTTGTCCCCTAGGCTATGCTTTCCTGTTTAAACATCCCCTGTAATTTTTGCTTGTCTTTGGTAGTCACAGTAGAAGGTTTAGGGTATTGAGAGCTCTGAGAGCTCCAGTAATTGTTAATGTTGCAAATTTTTTGAAAAGGCCGTTAGGCAAACCTGGTTGAGAAGGGGTGGATCTTTCCACTTCAAGTGGAGAGTCCTGTAGGAGATGGTTTAAGTATTGCCCCAAGAGTTTAACCTGGCAGTGATAGGTATATGATGGGAATTTTGGATCATACATGAATGTGGGCTGGAAGGGAGGCATCTGGGATTTCCCCCCATTCCCAGGGCTGAAGAGGGTCTCCTGGCTCCTTGTCACTCTCTGAGGCAGATGCCACATGCAATTATAAAAACTCCTCCCATCGCTGTCCTAGAAGAACAGATCCAGCCTCGTGGAATTGATCTGAGAACTGCGGAGTTAATCATTTATGTTGCTAGTATCCTGAGAGATTAAATGAAGACTTAGATGAGGACAGTTCTTGTGGGATGGATCCTGACTTCCCATCCACACGCGATTTAGCTTGCTTTCAAAATACAGATCCAGGGCTTCCCTGGTGGCGCAGTGGTTGCGAGTCCGCCTGCCGATGCAGGGGACGCGGGTTCGTGCCCCGGTCCAGGAAGATCCCACGTGCCGCGGAGCGGCTGGGCCCGTGAGCCATGGTCGCTGGGCTTGCGCGTCCGGAGCCTGTGCTCCGCAATGGGAGAGGCCACAACAGTGAGAGGCCCGC